CGGGGTGAGCTGCCGCCCCGACGGGCGGGACGTGGCGGTCGGGCCTGACTCGGCTGCCAGCTGCGATGACAAGGGCAGCCAGACCGACGTGGGCAGCATCGTCCTGGTGGGAGGACAGAAGGAGCCTGGTGCGGGCAAGGAGGCAGAGCCTGGGGGGGGCAAGGAGATGGAGCCTGGTCCAGGCAATGGCCCGAGCAGCCTCTCAGTGCAGGGCACGGGAGCAACAGAGGGGATGTGCCCAGGCAGCCTGGCCCCCAGGCCAGCTGTGCTGGACACGACACACAGCAGCCAGGACCCGTCCCCAGCACGGGACAGTGGAGCCACCCCAAGCCCTGCAACTGGTGAGTCAATGCCTTGGATGACACCAGGGTCTGGGTTGGGATGTTCCTGTGGGAAGGGAGAGGATGGCCCTGTTGGGGACGGTGCCTGCAGGGCCAGCACTACCTGCAGCTGCCCATGTCCCTTCTCTACCCGCCCTGGGGTCTGGTGGGTTTGGGGTGCTTGGCCAGCCTCAAGGAGAGACTATTTACAAGAGCATGTAGTGACAGGACAAGGGGGAACAATTTCAAACTGACAGAGAGTACATTTAGATTAGATGATACTAGTGAAAAATTCTTCCCTGTGAGGGTGATGAGGCCCTGGCACAGGTTGCCCAGAGAAGTTGTAGATGCCCCATGCCTGGAAGTGTTCAAGGCCCAAGATGGAGGGGCTTGGAGCAAGGTGGTCTGCTGGAAGGTGTCCCTGCCCATGGCAGGGGAGTTGGAGCAAGATGATCTTTAAAGTCCCTTCCAAGCCAAACCGTTTTGTGATTCTAAGATTCTAAGATTCTTGCTCACTGGCCCCTGACATCCACCTCTTTGCCCACAGGAGCCCTGAAGTCCATCATGAAGAAGCGGGATGGTCCCCCCCGGAGCGAGGCAGAGGGCAGCAAGAAGAGCCTGCAGTTTGTGGGAGTGCTGAACGGGGAGTACGTGCTGAGGGGGTTCCTGCAACCCCCATGAGCCAGTCCTGGCCCCAGCATCCCTGTCCTGGGCTGGAGGCACTGACAGTGGCAGGGCCTGGAGGGGACCAGCCAGGTGCTGTGTTGCCACCCAGGATTCTCCCTCTGTGCAGGTATGAGAGCACATCCAGTGAGGAGGAAGAGGAAGAAGGTGACAGCTCCTCTGAGAAGGGTTTGGCCGACAGCTCTGACAGCTCAGAGCAGGGAGACACCGAAACCTCGGAGGAGGAGGCCGGGGAAGGCGCGTGTGAGCCAGGACAGGAGTGCCAGGGGACTGACGTGGCCCTGCCAGAGCTGCCTGAGGTGAAGGAGAAGTAAGTGCTGATGGGAAAGGCTCCCTGGCCCTGCGCAGCTGGGAGCCATGGGCTGGCACTGGCCCTGCTGGCTTGGGGCATCTGCCATGGCTTCGGTGCAGCCGATGGAAAAAACACATTCAGCTCCTGCAGAAACCATTCATCAGGGAACAATGCTTCCAGCTTCTTGGGTCTGCTAAGGAAAGGACAAGAGGCCCCAGATGCCTCTTTGCTGCAGAAGATAGTTTGGAGTGGGACAAAAAAAGCCAACAGTCCTCAATGGCATTTTTCAACAAAAGGAAAAAATTTGGCCTAAGAATGGGTAAATCGTGCCCGAGCACATCCGTATAAGGCTCCGTTCTGCGGAGGTTTGCAGAGGCTGAAGCTGCCAGGCTGCAGCCACCAGGCTGGAGGTTGTGCCTTGGGGAGCTTGTGGAGGCTCACAGGCACTGGGGAGCTCCACGGGGGGGCTCAGGGTGCCCCACCCCAAGGGTTTGGTGGGGTGATGCAGAGCTCTACACGAGATGCCCCCCTGCTCTCCCCAGGTTCGAGCTGAGCCCCAGGATGCGGGAGGCCTGTCTCATCGTCAAGACCCACCTGGGCCACCCCGGTGCCACCAAGAGCAAAGAGGTGGTGAGTGAGGTGCTGGGGTGGCTCGCCCAGCCCCTGCCAGCATCCCCCCAGGGCTGGCCCTCCCCAGAGAGGGGCCAGCAAAGCCTGGCTCAGCACCTTTCCCCCAAATACAGCCCTTTGCTCCAGGCTTTGTCCTAGATACCCCAAAACCTTTGTGGACTCAGCTCAGGCCATCCCAACATGGGTTTGGGGGGTTCAGGGTCTGGCCTTCACCCAGCCCCCTCTGGAGCAGGGATTCTGCTCCCCACCAGGCCACTGGTGGGGGGTGGGTGCAGGGTGGCCCATGCAGAGGCTTTGGGGGAGCCCCAGCCCCAGCTCAGCCCCTCTCTGCCCACAGCTGGCCAGCAGCAGCCTGGTCCTGCAGGAGTGGTTCCGTCTGTCCAGCCAGAAGTCGTCCGTCCCCGACACTGTTGCCAACCACCTCCTGGCGTTTGCCGAGGTCTCACCGGCTCTCCTGGCCCACGTGGTGAACCTGGCAGATGGGAACGGCAACACGGCCCTGCACTACAGCGTCTCCCACTCCAACTTCCACATCGTGCGGCTGCTGCTGGACACAGGTCGGTGCCCCCCACCCCAGGCCACATCCCACGTGGCCTGCCAGGCACCTGGGGAAGGTGCTGGAGCAGAGGGGCAGGGAGAACTGCCCAGGCTTGTGCCCGTGCATGGGTAGGGGGGGTGAGAGCCTGGATTTCAAGGGGGGACCCATCAGCAGTTCTGTGCCCACGGGGCTGTGGGATGGCTTACAGCACCCAGGCAGGGCAGGAGCCAGGCACATGGCTTGGTCCATGTCTCCCACCAGCCCTCCAGCATCCTGAGCCCCCTCTGCCCACCCCTGCAGGGATCTGTAACGTGGACCACCAGAACAAGGCCGGGTACACTGCCCTCATGCTGGCGGCGCTGGCGGCTGTCGAGCAGGAGGACGACATGAACGTGGTCCGGAGGCTCTTCAGCATGGGCAACGTCAACGCCAAGGCCAGCCAGGTTGGCACGGGCTGGGGGCCACCACATCCCACCCCTCTGCCCACACCCCCAAGCAGCTGCCAGAGCCACGCTCAGCTCTTCCAAGGGCAGGACCGTGGCTCTAAAACCTGGAGGGGTCAGCACACGGGGAGGGCATCACCTTAGGAGCTCCTCCTGGCTGGCACAGGGCTCTCGGCAGCGGCCCTGCAGGGCAGGGGGCACAAGCGGGTGGCACAGCAGGGGCAGGGGTGGCCTGGCAGTGTCCCTTCCCCGCAGGCTGGCCAGACTGCGCTGATGCTGGCTGTGAGCCACGGCCGGCAGGAGATGGTGGAGGCCCTGCTGGCCTGCGGGGCCGACGTGAACCTGCAGGACGAGGAGGGCTCCACGGCGCTGATGTGCGCCTGCGAGCACGGCCGCGCCGAGACCGTGAAGCTGCTGCTGGCTCAGCCCGCCTGCAACGTCTCCATCGTGGACAGCGTAAGGCTCTGCCGCCGGGCCTGGGCAGCCCCACGCCCTGTCCTGTCCTCACACCCCTTCCCACATGCTCTCCCTTCCTTTTTAGGATGGTAACAACGCCGTGGCCATCGCGCTGGAGGCCGGACACAGCGACATCGCTGCGCTCCTCTACGCCCACCTCAACGGCACGAAGGCTCAGCTGCCCGTGAGTACCACAGCACTGCCCCTGTCCCACACCACTGCCCATGTCCCACAGCACTGCCCCTGTCCCACACCACTGCCCATGTCCCACACCACTGCCCCGGCGCCTGCCACGTCCCACACTCAGGTGGGCAGGTCGCCCCAGGGGAGGGGACAGAGCCGTGGCACAGGTGAGGGTCTCCAGGAAGGAGCTGCAGGAGCAAGAGCAGAGCATTCCAGGTGCCACATGCTCAGAATAGCCCTGCTGGCCCTGACCAGGAGTCACTGGAGGGGTCTCTGGTGACATTTTGTGACTGCTCTCTCTGCAGCAGGCGGCATCACCGACAGCCACGAAGAACCCTGGGAGTCCAAAGAAACCAAATTAGAGTGACCTTGGGATCCAGCCAGCAGCCACCATCAGCACTGGGCTGTGATTCATGTTCCCTCACCTGCCACCCCTCTGTGCCAAATTGCTCTCTGCAGCTTTAGTCCTGTCACTAGCACTGTCCCTGAGCCTCCCTTGCCCGTCTCCACTCACACGTGGCCAACTCACTGCATCAAGTGACAGGAGCCAAGCATCAACTGACCTCGGGATGGGACATGCAAGGAGCAGAAGTCACCCCATCCCCTCTACTCCCTGCCATGACCAGAGCTGCACTGCCTCCGAGCCCTCTGCAAGGAGGGAGCAGCAGAGAACAAACTCAGCAGAACCAGCCCCTGGTTTGTGCTCTCTGGCAGCCCCGAGAAGGCAGCAGTGCTGGTGACACAGAGCCAGGAGGGCAAGTGACAGCTCCTGGCCCTGAGCAGGGTCACAGTGCTGTGCAGGACGTTGGGAGAGGGGACACCAGCTGGTCAACGCTGCCTCGGACGTGGGCTGGGAGCACTTCCAGTCTGACATACTTGCTGCCCTTCTTTTCTGCCATTTCCTTTCCTGGCTGAAATCTGTTTTTTTTTTTTATTTTTTCTAGCACATGCACACAAAGCAAAAAAATTATATTGCTTGGCCAAAGGATGGAGTTCCACATGAAATCACTCGGGATTTGGTTTGTTCAATGGGAGCAAAACCTCTGAGCAGTTGGGGCTGCAGCCAAGTGACAGAAGAGGCTTAGGGCCAAGGATGTGTTTGGGGACTGAGCCTGCCCAGATAATACCCCACATGGGGTCCTTCTCCCAAAGGGAAGAAAGCAATTGCCTCCTAAACATTTCCCCATTTAACCAGTCCCACAGACTATGCAAACAGCCAGAGCCCACAGCCCAGTCCCTCTCTGCCCACTTTCCATCCCAAAGGGGAGGACAGTGTCAGGAAAAACAGATGGGCCAGAAGAGCTCAGAGCACACAGGTAGGGCCTGTGGAGGGAAACACGTATGTCAGAGAACATGTGTGTCTTTGCAAGTGTATGAGTACTGTGTGGGGTGGGAACAGGGTAAGGATAAGGACCAGGAGGTAAAAGGGTTTTGCATGGGAAAGCAGCTCTGCTCTGAGCCCTTCACAAAAGTAAACCTGTCACAGCCCCCATTCCTGCTCCTTGGCCCAGCCTCCCCCTAACTTCTGCCCCTGCCAGGCCTGCTCTGAGCTGGGAAACATCCCCCCAAGAAACTATAAACCTCCCCCCCAAAGCTCTGGGCACCACCCTGCTGCCCTCTTCGTGGGCCCGTCTCAGCTTTGCACTGGAGTTATACACAGCGCTCACTGCCACTCTAATACACTACTCTGTTTACTGCTATTTTAATACTGGTGTTTATTTTTAAGATATAAATAAAATTTAAAGTTATTTTGAAATATTACAGTGACCACCAGCGGTCTCCTGCCTCCTTGTCATGATAAAGCCCCCGAGAGCTGCAGCAGAGGCACAGCCCCCACATTCCAAGTCATTCCCTTCAAGTTTATGCACTGACTACATCCCTCAGTCTGGTTTTCCTCCCACAGAACCGTCCCAGGCAGGTGCAGTGGTGTCTTTGCCCCTTTCACTCTGCAGGAAAAACAGGACAAGGGACCAGCCACAGCCCTTCACCAGCCCTGGTTCTCTGTGGTGCTGCATCATTAAGGGCAATCACCACACTGAGTGTGGGGATGCAAATCACCTCCCTCCTCACATGGACAGAGACCAGGCTGACCCCACAGGGATACAGCCCTGAACCACCCCCACTACAGGGTTTCCCTCTGTCTGGCTGCAGCTCACAGCTGGTGGCTCCTGTCCCAGTCACCCAGCAGTCAGGGCTGGCAGGGGCCAGAGCAAACACTCTTGGGTCACTGCTGAGGCTGTGAGGGAACAAACAGCAGCCAGAGATGTAAACTCTGAGGACTTCTGGCACTCAGGGCCAGTTCTGAGCTCTGCTGCATCCCACAAACCAGAGACAGCCTTGTGTGATGCTCTAAAACTGAAACAACACCAAAAAAGAACCACATTGAGCAACATCATGAGCACATTGACAAGGGCTTTCTCCAGGGCACAAAATTCACCTCAGGCTGCCCATGAGCTGCCCAGGGCATAACTAACACCTGGGAAAAATCCCACAAATACTCTTAAACACCAGCCCTACAGAAATCATCATTGTCTGCTCAAGTTTAGCAATGTGTACATCTGTCCCAGCAGTGCTCTGCTCAGCTTTAGGACACCCAGACTCTCAGTCACACTGCCACTGACCTGCCTCAGTCAAGCTCAGGACATTGCAGGACAAAGAACACTCACATCAAAGATCACAGACCAGGGGCTGCAGACTTGACTTTGCTTAAACACACCACAAACCAGGACAACTCTAAGCTGACAGAAAACACCAGTCCTTAAAAACCAGCCCTTGAAGCAGGATAGTTTTCAGGCTCATTCCTAATTTTTTCAGCCATACTTTTGCTTCATGTAATATCCTAAAGCAATACATCTTGCTAGCTGATCTTGTGGTGGAGGGGAAAGCTGAAGAAAGTGAGATAGAGGAGTCAGACAAGCACTTGCTCTCTGCATGTGACTGACAGGAAGGACAGCAAGTAGGTGTATTTATAGCAGCATTCAGAGAACAGCTTACTGAGGACAGACAGACAGAAGCAGCAGGTTGTTGCTTTGCAAGCTGGTACCAAGCTTGATTTCCAACTTGTGATTAAATTCCACTGAGGTCCCGTAAGTTTCCGACGCCACTTCACTATCACATAGAGAAAACTGCTTACCAGGAAGGTCAGGATTAAGGCTGCTGTAATCAAAACACGGTTATTTTTGTTGTGACAGGTCAATAAAGATGCAATAATATTACAACGAATGCATTACGTGCAACCCCAGCAACAAGCAGGGCGTGCTGCTGTCCCTGCTGAGCCCGAGGAAAGCAGCAGGTGCTCAGGTATGAGACAGAGCTCCCAGGCGCTCCCTGAGTGAGACCCGGGCACGGGGCTACTGGAAAAACCCTTTATTGCAGTGACAAGACCACCACGCTCCTCCCCACCCGCCAGGCTCCATCCCCTGACGGACGATGCAGGGACGGTCGACAGGCTCCATCCCCCGATGGAGGACCCAGGGACGGGCGCTCGGGCAGGTCCCGCTCAGCGCAGCCGCCGGGCCTCGCGCTCCGACTCCAGCAGGGTGAGAACGTCTCCCTCTCGCACCGGGCCCTTCACGTTGCGGATGATGGAGCGGCTCGTGT